TGGAGACTCAGACCACCTAAACATGTGCCCCTAGGCATCAGTTCTTACCTTAGACTCCCTGTTAGTCTCAAGGAAACTTCCAGGCCAGGCTTCTTTCTCTGATCTCTCAAGACACCTGCTACCTGCTTGAGCTGCCTGCCCTGATCTCCCATGTCTTTTAGTAATGTGAGTAACAAATAAGCCTTTGCATGTCCCATTTGTTTTGTGTCATGTCATCATCAGTGTCAACATCAGAACTCTTCCTCTGCATGTGACCGTGGGAGTTTGGCAAAAGATACCTCTGTACTTTCATTGTATCTTGTGTTTGACTTGCTAACCTACTCTCCTGCATGATAGCCAGCATGGGCTTGCCTTGCTGGGTGGGGTGGGGGACCCTCTTGTTCTGACCTTTTTTTGTATTGCTACTGAGTCTGTGACTTATGACCCAAACTGTCACATTATAGCAGAGACAAACATAGAACTTTGAATATTTTCCCATATACTTCATCTTTAAGTATGTTCACAAAAGAGTAAAACTTTTCAGTAAATGAGTATTAAAGGGAAAGTATTCTGGGTGCTTTCTTTGCCTCAGTATGTTTCACAAATGCTGGTGTCTGAGTTGAGGGCCAAGTTATTTACTCATTCCTTACAGTGGTCACTGTGTTGGGGCTTTTCCAAGGTTACTTTTCATTGTTGTGAAAAACAATGCATCTATCTCCAGGTACAAATGTAAATATATTTTGTGGACATTAGAGAAAAATGACTGGTCTGTTGATTTCATTAAGGATCAGATTACAGGAAATGACAATGGAGGGTATCAACTGAGCCTCCATTCAGGTATAACTTTACTTGTGTGGTATGGTCTTCAACACTTAACATTCTATTTGTCTATTTTCTCTACCATGGCCATAGATATTATTTAATATATAGTATGTAATTATGAGTTGCTAGTGTTTTGGTTCTTTTTTGTTCATGTGTTCTTTCATTTTTACTTTGCACACTAATTTTTTATGTATATATTATACATATATTTTCTTTATTCTTGGTGTTTTATCTGGCTTAATTTTCCTATATTTAAATTTCTCCATTTCTTACGGCATTATTTATTTGGGAGTGCTGGAGTTTTGAATTAGGACTTCCCACTTACTAGGCATGCACTTTGCCATTTAAGCCATACCTCCAGCTCCTGCCTCTTATACCTTTTTATTTCATGAGGGAACTTTAATCTAACATCCAAAAGGCTATTGACTGGCTTTTCAGAGTTTTCAAGCTTTGTCTTCATTAAATGTAGAATATATGTCATAAGCCTGTTATTCATGGAATTCTTACGTATAGTTTGACAGACTGCTGACAAAAGTCATAAAAACACAAAAATTTCAGATATGAAAACTTCAAATTCCCCTTGTGCAATATACTCCTCTGATGATGCGAAGAAATTATTAGTCCCATGTCTTCATCAGTTACGGTTGAATTATTACGTGATCTGTTGAATGTTTGAGTTTAGTTTTTTTGAAAGTTTCCTCCCAAAAAGCAAATGGTGCCTCAAAAACAAGGTAAAAGTTTTGATACTCCTTCCAAATCAATGATTGTATTGTGCTTAAGTGATAAGGTGCAAAGTTTCGATTTTTTTTTTCTGTTTTTTTCTCTCTCTTTTTTTTTCTTGACACCTTGGGGTTTGATTTTTTTTTTTTTTCTTTTTGGTGGTGCTGGGAGTTGAACTCAGAGCCTTTGCATGCCAGGCAAGCACTCTACCACTGAGCTATATCTCCAGCCCTAGATTTGTTGAAAGGCATAGCATGTTGTTAGCAGAGGTTGGTTGTAAGTATGAGAAAAATGAGTCAAGCATCTGAAGTACTAAAGGTAAATAACATGAAATAGACTGTAGTTTGTGGTAAGTACTCTTAATGTGTACAACAGTAGTTTTGTTACAGCAATATAGTCTATTTCCAGAGATTTCAATTTATGGCAACTCAGACTAACTGTCCCTGCAGTGTAGGTAAATTTGACTATTCTAGAGTTCTGACCTCTATATCCTGAGCATTCCTGTTTTTTTCTCTCAAAGGGGATCCTTGGAAACATGAAGGATCTACTATATCGTCTATAGAGTAGAGGGAAATAGTGAATGTTTCCAATATGTACCACCCTGCCTTTTATAATAAAGAGATTGTGATTTCTCCCACTTTGTACAATGCCTACTCTGCTAGGAATCAGTTTTCTGCTTACATGAAGGTGTATTAACAACTGGGTTTCTTTTCCTAATCTATTTGTTAATCTCTGTGATAATAGTATAGTGTTCCAATAGTGTAGTTTCAAGGTCCCTTGGTATATCAAACTGTCACTTCTTGTTTCAAAGATTGTAAATGTTAGATTTATTATAACCACTAGACTTGGTAAAGTAGGTTTCACTAACTAGGTGTGAGTTTGTGTCTGTCTGTTCTGTAGTATTGGGCTTTAAACTCAGGGTTTCACACTTCCTAAGCAGGTACTCTGCCACTTGAGCCACACCTTATTAAGCCCAACTAGGTACTTGGTCGTTTTTAATTTTTATTTGTAATTTTGCAGGACCAAGGTTTGAACTCAGGACTTCACACTTGCTAGGCAGGCTCTCTAACACTTCAACCACTCTGCCAACCCAAGATATATTTATGAAATTATAGAATTTTGTACATATATGTGAGAAGTGACCTTCTCTTGGTGACAGTGAACTCTAACCACATCCTTACCCTTACTTCACTGCCTTTCATATTATAAGCAAATAAAACTTGTAATGTTTTTACATTACCCCAGTGAATTAATGGATTTAGTAAATGATAGTATTTAATAAATGTGTTCTATAAGAAACAAGGTATGAAGAAACAAACTTCCAAATGTTACTTAGTACAAAAGAAGTGCTCAATTTCCAAAGTAACAAGTTGGGAGAAGAGGTATTAAGTATGATATATCAGAATGCACCAGAGTGTATATTGTGTACTGATCAGGTGGACTCCCTTTGAGTATGTCAGAACCTTGAAGTGATTTACAGGGACAACAGGGCTTAAAATAGCATATTAGTGGCATAAACCCTTTGCACTTCTTTATAGTTACCCTGGTGAAGTTCATTCCACATACCAAAAATGATGACCTTTGTTTAGAAGCAGTTCTTCTTTCTTGGGGGGAGGCAATAGTGCGGTTTGAATTCAGAACCTCTTGCTTGCTGGCCAGGCACTGTACCTCTTGAGCCACTCCACCAGCCCGGTTTTGTGTGCAGTATTTTTGAGATAGGGTCTTGCAAACTAGTTGCTCAGCCTAGCTTCAAACCATAGTCCTCCTGATCTCCGCCTCTTGAACCAGTGGGACCTTGCTTCAGAACATTTGAAACACAGCTCTGTATTAAATGCTATGAATGAGTATGGCTCCAATAGTTTGAGTCTCACCCTTCCTCTGGAAATGATGTGGAATATTTTAGGAGTCAGTGACCTTTGAGGATGTGACTGTGACCTTTTCTCTGGAGGAGTGGCATTTGTTGGATGGTTCCCAAAAGAAGCTTTACTTGGAAGTGATGCAGGAAACCTTCAGGAACCTGGCCTCTATAGGTAAGGATGACATCATTGCCTTACTTAGTCAACCATAGAACAAATGTCTGTCACTCATTCATGCTGTCTTATGAGGTGAAATATGGAAAGGGAACATTTTGATGAATGTACTAAGAATAATCCCTTTTATTGTTGGGTAGTCACAGTCTAATAATGTTGTAATTATTCATAATGATAGTTTTGGTTTTTATTTTAGGAAAAGGAGAAGATCAGAATTCTGACAGCAACAGCAAAAGTCCCCGGAGAAATCTAAGGTAATTTGCACTCACAAGAGAACACAATTTCCCTCAGGAGTTGTAGACTGATAGGAGGTATTTTAAAAAGCACATGATACCAAAAAGCCTAGGCTCAAATTTATTTCATCTCAGAAACTTTCCTCAAAAACTGCACATACTTACAGCATCCATACTTGGAAAATTTGAAAACTGAAATATCCCACTATTGGACACATCCTGAACTCCAACACGATGCCCCAAGTGACAGTTTCTGAAAGCTTAATGGACACAAAGTTCTGTGAACAGAACTTTAAAATGTTGTATTAAATTACTTTTACACTTTGGGTACGATGTATATTTGAAACCAAAATGAACTTCCTGTTTAAACTGGATCTTGACTTTAAAATACCTTATTATGTACTTGGAAATATTTTGATATCCAAAACAAATATCCCAAAAATTCTCCATACAGAATACTGATTGTTTTTAAATGTGATATAGGCATTAAAATAGTTAAGTTGGAAACAGTATGAGGAAACCAGATATGGCTGAGGGTCTGTGGCTCTCACCTGTAATACTAGCTACTTTGACGATCTTAGAAGAATTCCAGTTGCAGGCAAACCCAGGCAATTAGTTCATGAGACCCAATCTCCAACAAAATACCCAAAGCAAAATGGACTGGAGGAGTAGCTCAAGTGATACGGCGCCTGCTTTGCAAGTGCAAAACTCTGAGTTTAAACTCTTAATATGACCAAGAAAAAATAAAAAGAAACCTGATATGAATACATCCGTTTGGATCATAGCTGTCTTCAAGCCATTCTTTAAGGCATTCAGTCTATTCATGTTTAAAAGTTCTTTCAGGGATTGAGTCAGTACTTCTCGTAATAAATCATTACTAAACAATCCATTAGTAATGCGCTTCTTTCTTACAGAAGTAACATGATAGGAAGACTCTGTGAGCATAAACAAGGTGGTCATTGTGGAGAAATCTTCAGCCAGTCTGTAGATCGTATTCTGAACATTAAGACTGCTACAGATGGATCACCATGTGAAAGTGGTGTGTGGGGAGAAGCCCTCATTGGTCATTCATCCGTAAATGTGCCCCTCAGAGCTCACGTTCAGCACATACCATATGAGTATCAGGAATATGAGAAGAAGCTGTATAAACATAAGGAGCGTGGGAAAGCCTACAGTTATTCCCAGTCCTATCAGAACTATGAAAAGACTCACATAGGAGAGAAACCCTATTTATGTAAGCAATGTGGGAAAGCCTTTCGTTCTTACAATTATTTTCGAATGCACGAAAGAAACCATAGTGGAGATAAAGCCTATGTGTGTCAACAATGTGGGAAAGCCTTTAGTTCCTCCACTTATGTTCAAATACATGAAAGATCTCACAGTGGAGAGAAATCCTGTGTGTGTAATCAATGTGGGAAAGCATTCTATCATCCCATTTCTCTCAGAAAACATGAAAGGGCTCACACTGCAGAGAAACTCTATAAGTGTAAGCAGTGTGGGAAAGCCTTCAGTAATTCTAGTGGTGTTAGAAGACATGAAAAGATTCACACTGGAGAGAAGCCCTATGTATGTAAGCAATGTGGGAAAGCCTTCACTTTTTTAAGTGGTGTTAGGAAACATGAAGCGACTCACACTGGAGTGAAGCCCTATGTATGTAAGCAATGTGGTAGGGGTTTTTGGAATCACAGTTACATGCAAAACCATGAAAAGATTCACAGTGGAGAGAAGTCCTATGTCTGTAAGGAATGTGGGAAAGCCTATAGTTCTTCTAGTTACCTTCAAATACATGAAAGAACTCACAGTGGAGGGAACCCATGCATATGTATACAATGTGGCAAAGCCTACTCAACTCCCAGTTCCCTCAGGGACCATAAAAAGATTCACAGTGGAGAGAAACCTTATGAATGTAAGCAATGTGGGAAAACCTTTAGTTCTTCTAAGTATCTTAAAATACATGAGAAAACTCATACTGGGCAGAAACCGTATGAATGTAAGCAATGTGGGAAAGCCTTTCGTCTTTCCAAGTACCTTCAAGTACATGAAAGGAGTCACACTGGAGAGAAACCCTATGAATGTAAGCAGTGTGGGAAAGCCTTCAGTTCTTCCAGTTACCTTCATATCCATGAAAGAGCTCACAATGGTGAAAAACCGTATGAGTGTAGGGAATGTGGAAAAGCCTTTAGTTGTTCCAATTACCTTCACATACATGAAAATATTCACAGTGGAGAGAAATCTTACATGTGTAATCAGTGTGGAAAAGCTTTCATTTATCGCAATTCCCTAAGGAGACATTATAGAACACACAGTAAATAGTAACTATAAATAAAGAATGTAGGTAGGCTTCATTACCATTGCCTTTCTAGGAAACAGTAGAACTCATAGTGGAGAGAACTTTTATCAAGGCTAACCATGTGGGAACATCTCTAGTCATCTGGGTTCAATTCACAGATTGAACACAACATGTAAAGAAATCTTGAATAGAAGAGATGCACAAAATCTTCAGTTGGCACCCATGTGCACATAGACATGCATCAAACCTTGGAAAGTCCTGGTTGTGTTGCTCAAGTTTTAGAGGGCTTGCTTGGCAAGTGTGAGGCCTGTGCTGCCAACAACAACAAAAAACATTAAAAAGGGGGGTATAGAAGGGAATAAAAATCCTGTAAAGATAAGAATGAGAAGAAGGTTGTCAATTGTATCAAGTAGGTTCAAAGTGTCTTGTGTAAATCACTCATGTAGAATTCTATAATTGCAAATAATATGAAAAGCTTGCTGCAAAGTAATTTATGTAGAATTACTCCAGAATACACGACACCAGAAGGAAAATGATCTAAAATTGACAAACAGTTTTTCTGTAGCTCATCTTAAAGTTGAATTATGGACTATGTATTTCTGACTTTGCTCTTAAAAATAGATGTTTCATGTTTTCTTTTAGCAATAATGTATGAACTTAATAGGTAGTGTCTTTTGAAACACTAAAGGCAATAAAGTTTTGCCTTTTCATTTTAAATTTGACCCATGCCTGAATTGTAATGTATTTGTAATATGACAATAAGTGTAATTTGTAAATATTTTTAAAGTAATAATTCTGCTTGATAGGCCATAATTGTTGGTGTTTTCCTACTGGCCTCATGTGTCATATTCTTAACTGTTACCTGTATACACTTTTTGTTAGAACAAATGACGCTTTTATGTGTCCTTTGTATATCTTACTTCTTGATGTATATTTTAACTAAGATTTCTGTATGCGTTTTTCAGAAAGTTCAACTGTTTTTACCCAACTGGTAGATTAAGAAGCATTATCTTTTTAAAATTGACACACAATTGTGGTACATGATGTTGCCTTGTGATGTTTACATATATATTTACAATATGTCTCAGTTAGATTTACTCTGGCCATCATTCTTCCTCTTACAACAATCTCAACAGGTTTCATTCTTCTGTTTTCATATATGAGCACTGAATATGTGCACCATATTCTTCCTCATTCTGTCTGGACATTCTTTCTGTTTTTTGGTGGGATTGGAGTTTGAACTCAGGGCTTCATGTTTGCAATGCAGGTGCTGTACTGCTGGAGCCACACTTCCAGTCCTATTTTTTTTATTTAATGTGAAGATACCTAGAAATACTCCACCATAGCTAGTCACTGTTGGCTCATGCCTGTAATTCTAGCTTCTCAGAAGGCAGAAGTCAAGAGGATCGCAGTTTGAATCCAGCTCTAGAGAAGTAGTTGCCCAGGCCCTGTCTTGAGAAAACACATCACAAAAATGGGCTGGGAGATTGGTCCAAGCTGGTAAGAGTGCCTGCCTAGCAAGTTTGAGGCCCTGAGTTCAAGCCCTAGTGCTGCCAATCCCCAAATCCCTTCACAATCATAGGAGATGGGTTCTCAAGAATCGTTATTATCATGTGTTTTCTCCTGCATTTGCTTATATGAGAAAACTTAATTTTATTTGTCAGTTCTCCTTCACTCATGATAACAAAGACTCAACATCCTGGTGTAAGTGTTTTTCTGCCAGAGTCTACCAAAAACATGTCTTTTACCACCTAAGATGTAATGAGTTAGAAATCTCTCCACATACCATAAGTGACTGATTTATCATTAAGAGCATTCTCCACACAAGCTCTACCAAGATTGGTGTTAGTTCTGTGTAGTGAGCTGGCTCCCTCTACTGGGTGCACTGAGAGGTGCATGCAGTTCTGTTTTGCTGATCTGATAGTCCTAACCTGGAAGGCTGGAGCATCGAGAGGAGTGACAGGAAGTATTATTCCTGCCCTATGAGTAAGTGCACTTAATGACAAGAGGAACTTCATTTTTAAATTTTTATTTCATGTTTCTTTTTTTTTCCATAGTACTGGGGTTTGAATTCAGGGCCTCACTGTTGCGAGGCATGTGCTCTACCACTTGAGCCACTCCACCAGCCCTCATTTTCTATTTTTGATTCAAAATGTTCTATAAGTTTTAGAGCCATGGTTCTCAGACATTATCTTTCATGTTGATCCATTCTAGTCATTTCAGTGTTGTCAGAGGTGTGTGACTTGACTCTTCACAATACTTGGCCTAAGAGAAATGGAGGGGATGGAACAATCTAGGATACAATACACAAATACATGGAAATGTCATAGTAAAACTCCCTATATAGATATCTTAAACAAACAATAATGTCTTTTTTTCAAAAATGGAAAACAGGAAGATAAACAGATCCTTTCTGGGAGTTTGTACCAGTGGGAGGGGGAGTATGTAAGGAAAGGGTGTTGGAGGGTGAATATAGTGGAAATATTACATAGTCATGTATGAAAGTGGAAAAATGAGACCTGTTGAAACTATTCTAAGAAGGGGGAGAAAGAATGATGGAGGGGGTGCATTTAATTAGATATATTGTAAACACTTTTGTAAATATCACAGATGCACTCCCAGTACAATGATAATATGGTAAAAAAAAAAAATTCAAAACCTTGGCCTAGCTGAGAATATGAGGTTGACTCCCGTCTTATGACTCTTTTTGTCTGTTCAACTTTGAAAACATTAAGGTATTTTGTAGAATGTATTGTACACCATTCTGTGTAAATACACATGCTCTTAAACCTCAGTCATGCTGTGTTGTTATAAGCCCATGGTAAGATGAAAATATCCTAAGTTGAACATACACTCAGTATAACTTATCTACAGAACCTCTAATGTAAGGCCAATCTCCTGTGAACATGCTGAAATCTCACATTTTCTCAGTGTGTTTTCTCATATGTTTCATACATCATTGAATATAGTATACAATATGATGTCAAGTTTTATGCGCGCTGGCATGAGAACAGACTTTGAAAATTGAAGACATTTTCTTCTGAGCATATTTCCCATCAGTTAATGTAAAAGAAGTAAGACCATCATCAGTCGGTGATCATCCTTACCTCAAAGTGTTACTGAAAGTCCTTTCTGGACGCTGAGGGAAGAGCACACTGCCAAGGATAAGGTTTGGTAGAGGACACTGCAGGGAAAGGAAGTTGTAGAGTTCCTGCCTCCTAACCTTGAAGGCTGCACAAAAAAAATAGAGTGACTCTGAGTCACCATCCCCAGGGATTGGGCAAGGATAAAACGGGAAGTGTGTGTTTCCCAGGTGTGGAGTTACCGGAACAAAGGGAGTGAGCATCCATGAAGGCAAGAAAGGACAGACAGTCTTGGATAGCGAAACAAACAAGGCAAGGAGCAGCACAGGAAGCTTAGGTGAGCTGGGCAAGGAGAGAGTTTGTCCTCCCCAAAGCAAGTTTATAGACTTGCTTGCCTAAATGAATGTTACTGGGGGCAGGGGTTGAGTCAGTTTCTTGTCTGGGGTCACGATCTAAGTATTGATATCAGAGACAAGGAATGGATAGCAATGCAGCAAGATTTATTCAAAGCAAAAGTAACTCTTAAGGGTGAAAGGATGGATCAAGCAGGGCAGCTCAAGAGTACCATCCTCTAGGGTCTGTCTGCCTTCTATGTGGTTTGGGTCAGGCTGGTGGGAAAAACCTGGGCAAAGATGCTGGTGGAGTAGGGTGATTGGCAGATTTACTTCTTAGCTAGATGTTAAGTTACTTATATCTGACTGCACATGCTCCTACCGATAATGCATTGTTAAAATTGTATGCATGAGATACAAGTAATATTCGTGAAGTCTTAATTAGGGAAAAGAACCTAAAAAGTTACCTAAGGTGACAGATGGGCTATGCTGTTTTTCAGAAGTGGTTGGAACCAGTTATTGCCCCTTCCCCTCTTTGCAGGATGCAAGGGGCTCCAAGCGCTCCTGCCTTGTGTGGAGCTTGCCGCAAGGGGTGGGGTTGCTGTGGGGTGGGGTCCCTGTGTCTGCTCAGTGGTGCCCGGTTTTCCTGAGTCTTCATGGTTGGGGAAGGGTCATGTAAATTCCATGACATGTCACCAGGCCATGCTCTGAGCTCTGGCCATGAACCCCCAGAGTCCCAGGTTCTCTCCCGTATCACCCAGCACCCTGGGAAGGTGGCTGGGGTTGGAGGGGAGCAGACACTGACACTCTATACGTCAGGGTTACTGTCCTCACTTGTTTCTAGACCTGGTTTTACAAAAGGGGAGCTGATGAATTGGGGGTGGAGAACTTATTTGAATAGGGTGTGGGTGCAGTGAAGCCCCAGATGCTAGTCCCCAAGTTCTCCAGGGTGAGGTAGAGGAGGGCTTTCTAGGAGGAGCAAACAGGAGCAGAAAGGAGGTGGGAGGAGGGGTGAGCAAGGTTAGGTAGTTAGCTGAAATTAGTATAGCTTGGACAGAAGGTCGCTTGGCGACCTCCATTATGACCTCCCTGTGACGTAAAGGGTGAAAAGAAGGGAAAGCAAGACAGTGTGCAGGTTAGGGAACTGCAATCAGAAAGTTGCAGGCACAGCCAACCAGAATCCTGCTTTTTACACACCTAATTAGTATAGAGATTGAACAATGCCCTGAAGAAAATGGATAGAAACCTCAGACCATGTCACTTCCCTTGCACCATCTCTTGGTATCTCTCCTTGCTCTGGGAGCTGCACTCTTTCGGCACTTTTCTATCTCAATAAGCTCTCCTGCTTTACTCACTTAAGTCCTTGATTTTCATTCTTTGAAATCTTGAGATGCATCCGGTGTTCAGAGTACTCAGAAACAGAGACAGTATCAGATTCTGGACCAGAGAATGTTGTTCCCTGATGTCAGCGTGTCCTTAGGGTGAGAGGCAAGGACAAATTGTAAACTGCCTGAGGTTAAAGGTGAGTCAGAAATCCCAGGCCTGAAGGAAGGAGAGAAGCATGAGGAAAATTTGCTTTATAAGTGTTTTGTTTCTTTCCTGATCCTT